TTCATTCACCTGCTTTAGAAAGATCCCAGTCAAGGCTTCAAAAGGGATTACAAGTGGAAAAGGGAGACGATTACATTTGAAAGCATCTGTGTGAAATCAAGCTTGGAAAGAGATGTGAGGATTTGGGAAGGAAAACGAGAGATTCTTGGTGCATTTCAGTGAATTATTCATGGGATATGTTGTAAATTAAATCAGGAGAGCAGACAACAAATGCACCGTATATGCTGTCTTTTTCATAATACAACGGAAAGGGGAGAATAATCAGGAGGAAATTAAAGCGGTGTACTGAAAAGAGTGCTTGCAATATTCTTCTTACGTCACTTCGCATTAAAATACCAAGCGTTATGCTGCTCTTATATGAAAATAGAATATTAGAAAATATTCTCATTCAGTCAACCTGATGGATATGGAACATTAGCATAGCAAAATCCTCATGATTTAACATAATTTTGCTTCAGGCTTTTTTGTGAAACTTGTAAAAATCATGTGGAGCCCCAAAGCAAAAGTGCTTCCAGTCGCTGCAGACTTCTTTGTTTATTTTGGTCTTTGGTTATATTTATACTTAGCTCTGTTGCGGAGGTCTGACTATAGTTTAGGAGATCTAATTGAAATGCAAGTGCTACCCTTCAGTCAGATAGATTGCACCATGGCCTCCTCACACTGCAGTAAAAGAGGCTTGTCCACATAAATCTGTTAGTGGGTTGTTAATCTAATGGTTAAAGATCCGGGCAGAAGAGGTTACAGGTTAAGTCACTTCTATACGTCAATTTGAAGCGACTGAAGAGCTGTTGAGACCACAGGGTTGGGGAAATCATATAAATATGACAGTGACAGTAATATAGCTATATTTACAGTAGAAGTCAGAATTATTAGCCCCCCTTTGATTTTTTTTTTTTTTTTTCTTTTTTAAAGGTTCAGGACACCTCTGAGAACTTTTTTTTTTTATATTAACAGATGTGTGTGTGTTGAGCACCTGTCAGCTTTAATTGGGGGGGAAACTGGATAATTTAGAGCTTTTGTCAGCTAATTTCAGGTTCCGGGTTTAAAATGATTTTTGGGGCGGGATTAAAATCGGCGACGTAGCGCAGTACTGCAAGTGCAATGTTGACGCGTCGGTTTCTCATTATTATTCATAGCGGAGTTTTCTTATCCTATGAGAAGAGCCGGCTGCTTAATTATTCATGAGACCTGCCAGAGTCAAGCCCGAGCTGAGAGACACGGAAACCACGGCACAGTATTTAGCCGTTCATGAAGGCTCATATGCGTTTGTTTCCATCATCCACCGGGTTTGTTGCATGTTTTCCCCCGCGATCTTGTCAGGGCCGATCATACAGCAAAGCTGTGTGCGTGCTGCTAGCATTTTTGTCGGGAGAGCAGCACGAGAATTAGAGAATGGCGGACGCTGTCTTTTATCAGGAGTTCGTTCACATTCAGACACATCGCCGTGCTGCTGTGTTTGCCTAAATCCTCCAGATTACCAGCAGGGTTAATGGTTAAAATAGACGGGTCAGGAGACCTGCTGCACTGAGTCTGCTGGATACGGAGATTGAGGGAGAAGTCCTCATTTATAGTGTTTACATAAACACACTTATCTTTATAATGATATAAATTGTGGTTGTGTATATGAAATTACGAATAACAAATGTAGCAGGGCATTAAATCACTGTTCATTTCTTTGCATTTTAACTTTGCAAACTATAAACTCATGCGTTTCCTTTGTGTCTCATTTTGTGAGCTAACTGACAACAGCAGTTATTCGCTCCCCTTCTCCCCTGCTGGCCACGCCCACTCCTGCCCGATGCTCGCGGAGCTCCACGCCCATTAATCATGCATCTTTTGAAAAAATTCTGAAGTAGACTTCAACCGAAAGAGGGGGGTGTCATGGCCCTTTAAATATTTCCAAGATAATGTTAAACAGAGCAAGGACATTTTTACAGTGTGTCTGATAATATTTTTTCTTCTAGAGAAAGTCTGATTTGTTTTAATTCGACTAGAATAAAAGCAGTTTTTAACTGATTACCCTATTCTGTCTAGTTAATCTAATTAACCTAGTTAAGCCTTTAAATACTTTAAGCTGTATAGAAGTGTCTTAAAAAATATCTAGTAAAATATTATTTACTGTCATCATGGCAAAGATAAAATAAATCAGTTGTTAGAAATAAGTTGTTAAAACTGTTATGTTTAGAAATGTGTTGAGAAAAATCTCTCTGTTAAACAGAAAAATGTGGGCTAATAATTTAGGGGGGTTAATAATTCTTACTTTAACTGTTAATATTTTATGCATATCTATTCATCTTTGTTAACATTAGTTAATAAAAAATAAAGTTGTTCATTGTTAGTTCATTTTAAATCACAGCCAGTGCATCAACTAATGTTAACATGCATGATTTTACCAATAAATGCATCAGTAAATGCTGAACTATGAAGTATTGTTCATTATTTGTCCACGCTAATAAATACATGAACTAATAATAAAACATTAATGCAAAGTGAGACCTACAAATCGATTTACTAGCTAAAAAGGTAGGCTAATAACAAATAAATGACAAATGAATAATAAACTAAACGCTTTCATCCAGCATCAAATGAAAGTCCTACAGAGGCACTTCTTTGGCACGTTGACACTTGTCAAATCGAATTAGTCAGTCTCTTTTCGCGTTCCTCACCTGAGCAGCCAAAACATCTCAAAAGTTTATTGAAACATACTGGAGCCTTTCCCTGTCAGCTCTGTTTTGACTTGAACTGGACACACGAGTGGCTTTAAAGCCCCCTGAGGATTTCAGGACTCCTGAAGTCAGATTTGTTGACGTGTTCCCTTTCGGCCCCTGAGGATCATTCCCACTTGAGCAATTAAAGTGACGAAGCACATGATATGACAGTGCTGGAATTTCCAGCAGGAGAGTGACAAGGAGAAGCAGGGAAAGTCAGCAGGGGCTTGTTAAAATGTGCCTGGGAACAAAGCTTCACATCACAGGAATGAGTCAGAGCTGGCGTTAACATTAGCCTGAGAGCGGCAGCCTGTGCCCGGATCCTGTCGGAAATACACGTGCACTCCAGGACTGAAGCGAGGCGCAGCGGGATGCCATGATTAGACCTTTTCAATCACGCAGCCATAGGTGGAGCATTGATTAAAGCAGCAGGAGGTGATATTTCAGAGATATTAGCACTTCGGCTTTCTCGCTGATGCGTTCATGCCATATGGATGATGATGAGGAGGAGGAGGAGGCTGTGTAGCACATGCAAAGCAGCATTTACAACCACAACGTGAGCACATACACTCTCAGCCAACAGGTTTGGGGGCAAAAGGTTGGAATATCACAATAAATTATGATGTGAATCTCAACGTTAAAGAGGGCCAGCTGGCCTGGAGCCAGAATGAGAGATTTTAAAGCCAAATGACAGAACAATGGTTGACAGTCACTGCTCCTTTCAGATTACCGGAGCAAAGCTGTGGAAAAATCTTGCTTTTGTTGATGTTGTGCACATATGTTTGTGTGTTACAAATGTTTGGTGTCCTGAGTTGTTTCATTAGGTACATCTGATAAATATGCTTGTTAATGTAAATATCTGACCATCCAATCAGATGACAGCAATTCAATTCATTAAGGCATGCAGTGTTATGTGAGGCCAAGATGATCAAATTGAGCATAAGAATGAGAAAGGGTGATTTTAGATATTATGATTTATGGTTGCGACATAGTGTGTCTTTATCAGATCTAGAGCCATTCATTAATTATGGATTTTAAAACTATTGACAAAAAATATAGCAGCCTTTTGCCATGTAACTTTCATGTTTATGTTTGTTCATGAAATACAAGAATTCAAAAATATGTTTGCCAGGCCGAACACCTATTTAAAGAATAAAATATTCACTTCAGCCCTGAAATTTTAATTAATGTGTCAATAATTTGTTTGCATGTTCAAAATTCTTTGATGACCAAAGCATTAAGGTAAAAACAACGCACGCACACACAAACATTCACACACACAACATATAAAAAATGTATATAATATATATACAGTTGAAATATTAGCCATCTTTTTCTTTTTTTTTTTTTCTTTTTTTATATATATTTCCCAAATTACGATTAACAAAGCAAGGACATTTTCACAGTATGTCTGATAATATTTTTTCTTCTGGAGAAAGTCTTATTTGTTTTAACTTGGCTAGTATAAAAGCAGCTTTTAATTTTTAGGGTCAAAATTATTCACCCCTTTAAGCTATATATTTTTTCGATAGTATACAGAACAAACTTTCTTTATACAATAACTTGCCTAATTACCCTAACTTGCCTAGTTAACCTAATTAATCTAGTTAAGCCTTTAAATGTCACTTTAAGCTGTATAGAAGTGTCTAGTAAAATATTATTTACTGTCATCATGGCAAAGATAAAATAAATCAGTTATTAGAAATAAGTTATTAAAACTATTGTTTAGAAATGTGTTGAAAAAAATCTTCTCTCCGCCAAACAGAAATTGGAGAAAAAAATAAAGAAGGGGCCAAAAATTCTGGGGGGTTAATAATTCTGACTTCAACTGTATATATGAGCAGTATTACACGAGTAGCTGTGCGATTATGGCTGTATATTGGCACTGGTGGGAGGTGAAGAACACCAGAAACCATTGCTACTTCACAAATATCATATTAGAGCTAGTGTTTGAATGATTCTCTAGCGTAGAAACAGGTGATTTTGCTCACATTTTAAGATTATTAGGCTATCTACAGAGATTTTCTAGTATTTCTCTGTTGCAATCAGGAGATCACAATGATTAACCCAGAAAAAGCCAAAGCAAACACTACCAGATTACTATGGTATAAATACAGACCTACAACATAGAAAAGAGAGAGACTTACTTAGAATCTCTCTTACCTGTTTAGCCGAATGCTTCATTTATGTAGTTTATATGCAAAACGCTGTTTCGATGTTATTCTCACATGCTAACGATAACGAATTTTGGGGTACTAAAACTCTGAGGTAAACAATTGAACATGTTTCATGACAGTTTACATGAAGTTTTTATTGACAGTTGTTTTGCAGTTAAAACACAGATTCATTGATTATTGTATATATTTTAGGAAGCTTTACGGTTTCTTTTAACATACCTTATAATGCTCATTCATGTTCTTGTATCTTGTAATAATTGCAATGAATCATCTTCGTGTCAGACTTCATAATCTTCTGCTCTTTAGAGCAACCACCGCATACTGAAATTCCCGCCTACACTAACTGCAAATGAATCGATATGGAAATATGATTGGACTTTAATTTCATTTTTTGAAAAACACTACGAGATGATTGGCTACCATTGATTACACTATTTTCGTACGCCTGGTAGCCTAGATTGAAATAAACAAGAGGATATTTTCCTACAGGCCAGAGTCCTGAATTAAACATTATTATATACTGGTAACATAATTTATGCACAAAAGACACTGGAGAGAGCAAAATATACATACTACAGTGTATTAGAAAAGACACCTCCCACCCCCACAAAAAAAAACTGACGTTTCATGTGTCTGTAAAATCCAAATTTGCAGTCTATCTAGTTTAGATAGAGTCTTTGTTATTCTATAACAAAATCAGATAAATAGTGCCGATTTTTATCCAGGAATGAGCAATGTACACTGCACTGGTTTGGCTAAGTGTCTTACATCTTCAGGCCAGTAGAGGGAGTTTCAAGTGTTCAGTGTTATGTGCCTTTATTGAGTCGAGCGCGCTGCTCATTCTGCTGCTCCTTTGAATCCTCCCATGGACGCGGACCACGAATGTTCTTCCATCCGTCCAAATCCTGATCCTTTAATTTCTGTAAAAACAAAACACATTATATTACATTTCTAGAAGTATTTCATAGCAAATGCATTCAATTTGTAACAAAGTTTGCTAAATTAGAAAAAGACTTGAAGGCTACAAAAACAGAACAAGACCCTACAGTAAAGCTCAAAAGATTTTTTTTAAGTTGTTGAAAATCATATTTTCTGCTTGAACATATTTTAATGGATAACTAATTTATGTGCAGGCAAAGCTGAATCGTTCATTCAGTGTCACATGATCCTTCTGACATATAGGCAAGGGCAAATTTAACCAATAGGTAAGCGCCTGCTTAGGGCCCAAGGAAATCTGAGCCACTTCTGAGCCAATTCTGCCACTTGAGAGCGCTCTTCTACTACACGTTCGCTAGCAGAAGATCATATTTAATAGCATTGTATCTTCTCATAAATGGCTGGATGGATAAAAATAAAGTTTTAAAAGTCAGAGAGAATCAACACTTCAGTATAATGGCAGTCTGCTTTTTCTGCGCTGGACAGCCTCAACCACACACAACCAGAAACGCAGAAGCTAAATGAACCATCCAGTGCACTTTACATGGGGACCAAACAGCCAACTAGACACTTTCTGTCCAGAATAACTTACAGCACGTTAATTACCAGCTCGGTCAGTCAGTCTCCCTGGAGCAACCTAGCGTTACATGACAAACAGCATGACAAAATTGTGATTACAGTCTCCCTGCGTCAGGTCCAAACCTGCACCGACTGCATTTAACAAGCCAGATGTTTAAGCATTAGGCCAACATAACCTGACTACTGAGTAAACATGACCACCATCTTGCAGCAAAACAGCAGATGGCTCAATAAAACATTATAACACAATAAAACATTAGTACACATGCACAGATTCATCTATCGATATAGCCCTCTCTATCTTATATTCCTCCTGAAGGATGACAGACTAAAATATTGTGAATATTGTTTTTAAAAGTAATAATTTTGTAAAGCAATTCAAAATAATCTTTTATTTCATATAAATATTTTACGTTTTTTATTCAATTCAATGAATGAAAAGATTGGTTTTTAGGATTATTCAGCTGTTTAATGAATCTTTCTCTCCTGAATTATTTATAATGAGTTTTACAAGCAGGTGTGTCAACCGATTAGCTTTGTTTTAGGACAAGCAAGAATGGCTACATATTTAAGCAGGAAAAGCAGAGTGCAATAAAAACCTTGTCAATGTGTCCCAGGGTTGTTTTTAATAGCTGTTAAAGCAAGAGTGATTTATTAATATTTAAACAGATTCAGTGTAGTAAGAATGTTATGTTTGTAAAGGAGAAAAAAATGAATTGATTTATCTGATTCTATTTTAATGTGTCCAAAAATAGTTTTGCATATTAAGTGTTTTTGTAAAAGCAAGTTAAATCTCTTTTTCACGTTCAAGTTGCTTAATTGGCATGACATTTTTGTTGGAGTATTGCAATCATTATACAATAATTATAGAAAACTCATTATCAAAATAATCAAATATACAAATGACAGAAAAAGACAATACCTGTATTATAATTTTAACTTTCATATGTGGATTGTTTAAATAAGGCTAATTAATTCAGTGAATTAACAATTTCTTATGGCATATACATAATTTGTACCCAGTTTAAATGTCATGTCATTCAATTTTCAATTCAAAAGAGCTTTATTGGCATGACCAAAGCATAGCACGTTACATGAACAATGAATAAAATAGCAGTGATCATAAGACAGACAGACAGACAGACACAGACACAGACACACACACACACACACACACACACACACACACACACACACACACACACACACACACACACACACACACACACACACACACACACACACACACACACACACACACACACACACACACACACACACACACACACACACACACACACACACACAAATATCCAAACCTTTTAACCAGTATTCATCTGAATTAACAGTCTCTTGTCAATAATGGGGTTGATCGAGAAAGCCAGAGAGGAGCAGAAGCAGGAGATGAAGTAATGATGATAAAGGAAGAGCAGAGTTTATTGAATAACTGATCCGACTTTGGGTTTTCCAAAAAACGCCCCAGAAAATGTCAAAAAATCCCACTGACTTTACATTGGGTCAAACTTTGTAAGCTCATAACTCTGCATCAGACTGTCCTACAGACTAGAGTCTGGCCTCATTTAACCCAGTCTAGCCAGCAGCCAACCACTGAAGATTCCTGAGGATTCCTAGCCACTCCTTAGCAACCAATTTCAGCATTAATAGCCAAACATGTTAACCAGTATTCAACTGAATTAACAGTCTCTTATCAATATAGGAGTTGACTGAGAAAGCCAGAGAGGAGCAGATGCATGAGATAAAGTAATGATGATAAAAAGAGCAGAGTTTATTGAATAATGGAAAATGACGGCGTCACAATATTGTTCAGAGTCTATACAGACCTTGAAATGAAGACATTCTCTAATCTCATACTTATGAAAACAAGTGAATCCACAGAGTCAAAAGATTATAACAATATGAAAAAGTAATAATAAAGCAAGAAGTATAGACAAGCATTAATAATAATAAAACACAAATGTATGGCTTTTCTTGAAGCAACACACAGAAGTTTGCTACAAGGATTCTAAGATCCTTAGTTGGATTCTTCATTATTAATAATTCATAGTAAATACAATATACAGCTGTGCATTCATGCAAACAGTTTTAAACAATGTTTCAGACTAGTTTTGTCCACTGTTTATGACAGGCTAATACATAATTTCAGCTGTTGATATCAGAGTTTCTCTCTCAGAATATGACTCAGTGTTTCTATATTTTATAAAGATGTCAAATTTGCTGTAATTATCTAGAAATTGGAGAAGAATGTGGATATAATGTTGTGGTAATGTTCACAGCGCAGAAGGAAATGCTCCTCAGATTCCACTGATAGATAGATAGATTGATAGATTGATAGATTGATTGATTGATTGATAGATTGATAGATTGATAGATTGATAGATAGATTGATAGATAGATAGATAGATCTATCTATCTATCTATCTATCTATCTATCTATCTATCTATCTATCTATCTATCTATCTATCTGTCTGTCCTTCTAGGCGGTCTGTCTTATTTCAGCCTCTTTAACATAGATCAGGTACTCTGCTGTTTCCAAAAGGTGATGTTATTTCTGTGCCTGTATGACGTGTTTGTGCCCGATTATGTTGTGCTGGTTGAGTTTCAGCAGTAGATGTGAGTGTCAGCGTGCTCTTGTGTATCTGCTGTTCTGGACGGTGCATTGCTTCAGCCTGATACCAGCTCACATCAATGCATTTCAGATGATTAGAAAACTTCACAGCTCTTTTTTTAAAGGCTGATCAGTAAATGGTATGGAGCCTTTTCACAAGCTGATTATCTTAAATCCTTGAAACTTTTTCATATTTTGATGAAAAAAAACATATGTACATTTATAATGATTTATCTACGTATTATGTCATCATTGCAGCAAAAAAAAAAAAATTATATATATATATATATATATATATATATATATAGGTATGTATGTATGTATGTATGTATATATATATATAAATATATAAATATATATATATATACCACTTATGCGCATCAATGGATTTGCTCGTCAGTGTTTGAACTTTCAGCAGCGATTATTAAACCACACTGAACAGAACTTTAACTCTTAAAACTGGACTGACATTATTTCAATTTATTATAATCTTCTATTTTAAGCTTCTTTGACACAATCTACACTGTAAAAATGCTATACAAATAAAGATAAATTGAATTATGCGGAGTGTTTCTAATGCAGCGTCTATGAGCAGGACAATAAAGTTAATGTCAGTCTCTCCTCTGGCTATCTGAGCTTATCACTTATTCTTAATATTCATTCTCACGCATTTTTTTTTTGAAAATCTTGATGACACTATTGTTGAGTTTTATTTTATTATTTAAGAAAATAAGATTGTAATATATTTGTTGTACTCTCCCATTTACTGTGCTCTAAGTTTACCCAACTATGACGATTTTCACTGCTGAGAAACTCAGAAATGAGAAAATGTCCAGTTCCGCTCTAAATAAGTTGTTTGGCGTAGCTTGATGTTCTTTAGTATAATCTTACATTATTTAATTACATCATACACACACACACATGGCGACACGGTGGCTCAGTGGTTAGCATTGTCGCCTCACAGCAAGAAGGTCGCTGGTTTGAGTCCCGCCTGGGCCAGTTGGCATTTCTGTGAGGAGTTTGCATGTTCTCCCCGTGTTGGCGTGGGTTTCCTCCGGGTGCTTCGTTTTCCCCCACAGTACAAAGACTAGCGCTATAGGTGAATTGAATGAACTAAATAGGCTGTAGTGTATGTGTGTGAACAAGTGTGTATAGATGTTTCTCAGTACTGGGTTGCAGCTGGAAGGGCCTCACTCACATATAATGCAATCAGCTTATGGTTTTAGTATTTTTAGCCAGATCTGAACTAGTTTCACAAGGAACTCTATTTTTTAATCATATAAAAGACACTTATAACATTTACAGCCAGCTAAAAGTTTCAGTTTTAGAAATACTTCATAGGGTGTCTTTCTCTCTCATTACCTCATATTCCTCCTGAAGGATGACAGACTGTTTCTGACTCTTCACTCTGGCTTCCAGTGCCGGGTCCAGCTAAATTTAACACCAAAATCAACCAAAGGATAAAAAGAAAAAAATATTTACGTTAAGAACAATAAAATTTTATTATAGGTTTTTTTTCTATACTCACCGGCCACTTTATTAGGTACACCTGTCCAACTGCTGATTAATGCATATTTCTAATCAGCCAATCACATGGCAGCAACTCAATGCGTTTAGGCATGCAGACATGGTCAAGACGATCTGCTGCAGTTTAAACCGAGCATCAGAATGGAGAAGAAAGGTGATTTAAGTGGTTTTGAATGTGGCATGGTTGTTGGTGCCAGATGGGCTGGTCTGAGTATTTAAAAATATGCTAATCGACTGGGATTTCCATGCACAACCATCTCTAAGCTTTACAGAGTGTGGTCCAAAAGGAGAAAATATCCAGAGGGTGGCAGCTCTGTGGGTGCAAATGCCTTGTTACTGCCAGAGGAGAATGGCCAGACTGGCTGATAGAAAGGCAACAGTGACTCAAATAACAACTCGTTACAACCGAGGTATGCAGAAGAGCATCTCTAAATGCACAACACGTCCAAACTTAAGTCGGATGGGTTACAGCAGCAGAAAACCACACCGGGTGCCACTCCTGTCAGCCAGGAACAGGAAACTGAGGCTACAATTCGCACAGGCTCACTGAAATTGAACAATAGAAGATTAGAAAAATGTTGCCTGATCTGATGAGTCTCGATTTCTGCTGTGACATTTGGATGGTAGGCTCAGAATTTAGCGTCAACACCATGAAAGCATGGATCCATCTAGCCTGTATTAACAGTTCAGGCTGCTTGTGTAATGGTGTGGGGGATACATTCTTGGCACACTTTGGGTCCTTTAGTACCAACTGAGCATCGTGTCAACACCACAGCCTACCTAAGTACTGTTGCCAACCATTCCTTTCTGACCACATAACACACCATGTCATAAAGCGTGAATCATCTCAGACTGGTTTCTTAAACATGACAATAAGTTCACTGTACTCAAATGGCCTTCACAGTCACCAATTCTCAATCCAATAGAGCAACTTTGGAATGTGGTAAAATAGGAGATTCACATCATGAATGTGGAGCCGACTAATCTGGAGCAATTGTAAGATGCCATTATGTCAATATGGACCAAAATTTTTTGAGGAATATTTTACAGTGCTTTGTTGAATCTTTGCCATGAAAGATTAAGGCAGTTCTGAAGGCAAAGGGGGGTCCAACACGGTACTTGTAAGTAAGGTGTATCTAATAAAGTGGCCGGTGACTCTAGCTTTCAATATTGATGTAAAATAGATTTTTTTATTCCAACATTTAGACTTTTACCTTCTTAATATAATTTCAGAAAATAATTCTTTGCAAATTCTAAAAAGGGAAATCATATTAGCGGCCAATCACTATCAAAGTACCACATTGTTCCTTACATGCTATTTAAGACCGAATGTTCAAAGCACCAAGTCACAAATCATCAAAAACTAACGAATATTAAATCAACTTTACCTCAATACTTTCACTTACCTTTCTTTGGATCTTCTGAGCATCATATCTAATCTGAGTGAATTCTCTCAAACCAAACGAGCCTCCCACGATCAGCAGCTTCAGACAAACATCATACAAACAAGACATATGAGCAGATACATTACTGGTTGATTTCACAAAAACAGAAACTATACAATAGCGTTTAACATTGTTGGAAGAGTTTAAAATAAATATATTTCAGTACAGTCAAGACACTTACCAGCATCGGGACCCCGTATTTTACTGTCCGGTTATTTTGCAGCTTACGAACTTGATTCCACATGTTTAGTTCATCTACGTCATGCTACAATTACACATATTTTATAGTAAAGTCAGTAGGACATAACTAAACATCTCTCTACAGGGCGCCGCCATGTAAACCCACAATCCCTTGTACAGCCGCATAATACGTCCGTGTGGGACTGAAGAGAGGCTAATGGGTTCCACTTTTAAAAATCGTTAAAAAGTTGAGTAATAAATAAAAAAAAGATTAGTAATAATTAATATATCTATTTACAGAAGAAGCTATAGAGCAGATAAGCTGGCCACCAACTACATTTTTATTAAATCTGTGACATAGAAGTCAAAAGATTTGTTAATGTATCAAAGCACAAAATAATGAAATTTTCGTTTTCCTCTCAGTGTGCTAGTTTTGAGACACTCTATATGTCTGTGTACCTTTGACCGAATTAAAAATGCCATTTTTTTCTCTCATAGGGACAGTCCCAGTGTTGTTTTATCAGGAAGAACAATAATCAAACTGTTTCCTTGTATATGCTGTCACAACATATTCATGTACATCAACATTGATTCATGTTACAGGAGAGTAGCCGATTGCCAAGACTTGAATATTTTTTTCTACAGCATATTTAAGTGATTGTTATCATTATAAATAATAAGTAAATAATGTTATAAATAATAAACAATGAGTAACTCAAAACATTTATCCATAAACGCAATGTAAACACTTGAGAAAAATTACTGTGAGAAAGTTTACTATGGCTTGTGTACTTTTATTTCTTGGTTCATTATTTTTATTTGCAAAATGAATTCTATTTATATACAAACATAACAAATGTATTTTTATGCAGTTTCTTGCTCAAATTTCTTTGATCAAAATGTTGACACTTGACACCTACTGTCAGGTTTTGTAAGAGCAGATAGTTATGAAATCTAACATGATATATTTTGCATTCAGTGTATTATTGGTGTTTATTTTCAGAAGGGATGAGAGACCTAAGAGGACCCCCGTATGCAGACTGATGGAGAGAGTCATACTGTGGGTTATAGTGGTTATGGACCAGGACTATGAAAAAAGTCTGTTAGGGCAAATCAACGACCAGAATGTTCCTAAGGGTCTCCCATCCAAGGTGAGCATAAAAACAAGTTGATCTGTGATATATATATGTGATGTACAGTTGAAGTCAGAATTATTAGCCCTCTTGAATTATATTAGCCCCCCTGTATATTGTTTTCCCCAATTTCTGTTTAACTGAAAGATTTTTTTTCAATACATTTATAAACATAATAGTTTTAATAACTCATTTCCAATCATTTATTTCTTTTATCTGTGCCATGGTTACAGTACATCCTATTTTTCAAGATACTAGTATTCAGCTTAAAGTGACATTTAAAGGCTTAACTAAGTTAATTAAGCAAGTTGGGATAATTAGGCAAGTTATTGTATAACCATGGTTTGTTCTGTAGACAATCGAAAAGTAAATATTGCTTAAGGTGGCTAATATTATTGACCTTAAAATGGTTTTAAAAAATCAAAACCAAACCACTTTTAATGTGATTAAAATACAGTTAAATAGACTTAAGCATTCGTTTAGCTGTTCAAGCATAAAATGAGATGAAAGTCTGTGTAATCGCTAGTGCTGTCAGCAGCAGCAGGCTAGCGCAGAACTTCCATTGAAAATAATGGGGTAAAACAAATTTTCATATTTTAAAGAGATGGCAGGGAGAAATGGAATGTAATGCAGTGCTTCCTATCCAGCCTGAGACCCACTTTATATCAAATATATATTAGGCAGTGAAGATCACAGATTTCTTTTAAACAAAACAGATCTTAAACGTGCCGATTTTGTAATGCAAAGACAGTTCACTGGAAACCGTTGGGCTGGCTGCTGAAAATTAAAAGTCTGTGTGCATTATATACCCCATTACCGTAGCTAATTGAACACATTTCTTCCTAATAAGCAATTAAAAACACAAACACACAAACAACTGTGATCGTTTCTTTATTTAAATTTTCATTTTTTTTAAACGTTTTTTTAATAAGGTGAAGAAAAATACCTTTTTTTGTTCTGTATAATAAAATATGTTACCTTTATTCCTTTATGAAGAGGAGAAAAAAACAAAACAAGAAGTAAAAATACACAAAACATTCCTCCTGTGGGGAAGTTTTTCAATGTTACATTTGGAAGCAGAAAAGGAGAAGATCTGTTCATGAAATCTGACTCGCCGTCTCATCAACGAGCATTTACAGAAGGTAAAAAAAGTGAACCAATCGCATCACATCAACATGCAGTCAGAGGTCACATGATGCTGCCGTTACACATATTCCAAACCGATTGTTGCATAATGTCACATACACTAATGTGATATCCAGACGAGCATGTGAAGGCAGCATTTCTGACACGATCCCTAAAGCAGGCAAGACAGACTTCATGAACACACTGGAGAGAAAGAGCAGGAAGTCGTATATGACACACAGGAAGGGCTGAAAGGACGATACAAAAAAAAAAAACGAGCCAACGTCATTGGGTGGAGCTGATGGAAGCTGCTCTGATTGGCTGATCTGGGACCAGTTCTGCATGTTGGTTCCAGATCAGCGTTTAAGAGCCACTGTTACTCTCAAGCAGGTCGCACACCAGAAGCGACGCTCGGCGGCGCGCCGCGCAGCGCCACGCAGCGCCATGTATTTTAGAATTCTAAACATAGGTTTCTATCAGGATACACACACCGGCGCCGCAAGTCGGCGGCTGTCGGCGGCGCCCGGCGACGGCTCAGGACGCAGTTCATTTTTCAGCCGCGCCACAGAGCGCCATCTGATTAGTTTCATGTTAAATATCATTCGAATGTGCGCGTCTGGTGTGCGATACTTTAATCTGTCATGTACGCGCCGTGTCGCGGCGCCGAGCGGCGCTTCTGGTGTGCGACCTGCTTCATAGTGTGCGAGCTGTGTGTGTGTATGAATATGCGTTTCTGTGTGTTTGTAGGAGAAGGCAGGTCACGGTTCAGAGGTCGCTCTCCCCATACAGGGCGGTAGAGAAAGACATGTAGTCGAGCGCTCCCGGGACGGAATCAGGCCCGCTGTAAGGCGTCATGCGGGCGATGCAGTATTCGGCCTGGTCGGGGGGCAGCTCACGCCTCAGCTCATCCGCCAGGATATAGTTCTGCAGCAAGACAGGGTTACGTGTTCACTGAGGTTTGTGTGAAATAAAATTATTTTGTTGTGCACATTGTTATACTTTAGGTTGTACTTTAAGTTGATTCACTAAAAAAAGTGTTTGGCTGCATCTGAAATTGCCTACTACTTAGTAGGTGGTACTACATTGGAATTTAATTTACTACACAATCATTAGAAAACTACTTTCTATATAGTATGAATGTCAGGAGTATGAATGGATTTCGAAGGTACTGTATTCACCATTTGTCATTGTCACATGACCTGCCTGAGTCAGTTGAGTCACTTCAATCACATTCAAGAATTCTCTAGCATGGCATCATGGGATAGCGCATAGCTCATCAGATGCGCACTTCAAAATCTCACTGGAAGTAGTAGGTCATCCAGGTACTTCTCACATAGTTTTTCGAAATCTATGAATTCAGACATACGGCTCGACTCGCATACTGTTTTTAACATTCTATATAGTATGGAAGTATGCCATTTCGGATGCAGCGTTTGTTTTGGTAATCTTCAATCGAAGTCTGACCATTTGCTTCCACGTTTGGAGTGGGGGTCCTTCTCTGTTGATGTCAGTTTGAGAGCTTCAGCCACAGTATTTTTAACCATGCTCTCTTTTACTGTAAGCTGGCTATAAGCAAATGATGCTCAAAAATAAAGCCCCGCCCCCTGCTTAATATTCAATTTCAAGTACACCTGTGGCTGCATTTTTTATATCCTTCACTCACTAACTTCCCTCCATCTTTCATTGATTTAGTCATCATTAATTATGGCACAATAGTGTTTACTATTGGCGAAGCATCTGAATGAATGGAGTGCACTAAACCCTTGGCCACTACACTGTTGTGACATCACAAGCGCATTATGCTCTGGGACATATAGGTGCTGGAGTCAAGGGAACGAAGGTATGTCCATGTAAACTTCCTTTGTTTCCTTAATGAAGTGAAATACACTTCAAAGTGTTGGTGAGGATTTCAGCTTAATTTATCAATTAAAAATGGCTTTTGATGCATACAGTAGTTGCACTTTGACACTTTTCTGCCTTTTAATGTTCTATTTAAAGTTTTATGTTTATGAAATATTTATTTGTTTTTATTCAAGAGTTCACACTTAGCTGATGATTGATAATAAAGCTTGTTTGGCATGCTGTCTCGGGAGAGATCCCTGAGCTTATGAGATTCTCGAGCCCTGGGCTCCCTCCCGTTTGCAGGGCGAGAGGGGAGTTTAAGCTCAGGTAGGTCTCGATGACTCCCCCCTTGCTTATTTGTAGCTAAGTGCAGCTTTACACCTTCAATGTCTAGCCTTAATGGAGATGCTTTCATCTAAGAGAGTGATGTTTGACTGTTGTGTTTGTACCTTGTCTCCAGCGAGGACTTTAAATGATGCCATGACCTGATCTGCAGTGTCCGTGTCAGCCGTTTCGCGGGACATGAAGTCAATGAAGGCCTGGAATGTGACGACTCCCAGTCTGTTGGGATCCACGATGCTCATGATGCGAGCAAACTCCGCCTCTCCCTACACAACAGAGAAACATTTCTCAGTAGTGGTCCAAGCAGACAATGGGAAAGGTTGTTCATCAATGATCTTTATATTTAATCTTCATTGAGAGAAGAACTATATATGGTAACTTAATTGACATTGATTACTATATATTTATACACATATATACAGGGCTCAGCATAATTGAGTACACCCCATTTTGAAAATGAATATTTTTATCCATTTCTCAGTGAATATAGGCAGCGTATTTTGGTGCATTTAAACAAAACAGATTTATTATATATATATATATATATATATATATATATATATATATATATATATATATATATATACACATATATATATATATATATACATATACATATATATATATATATATATATACATATATATATATATATATATATATATATATACATACATACATACATATATATATATATATATATACATATATATATATATATATATATATATACATATATATATAA